AATTCCTAAACGGTGACTCTTATGTCTTTTTCGACTAAGGTATGGGTTAGGCGTTGCACAGTTGAGCAAAAGTCTCGATGTGATGAACTGTTCGAAAAATTAATATAATCTATTGAAAGAGTTCAGTTTAGCCCAAAGGAATTGTTTGAAAACTTTCTTTTAACCGAAGCTGATATGGGTTAACAGCTCAGGAGACAATTTCATCTGAGCTTATGAGTAAGACTGTAAAAGTTCCACTTCAAAACATATGGTTAACAGTTCGTACAAACTGGTTCAACGGTTCGGTTCATGAGAATTTAATTTATATAAAACTGCTAAAATCCTACTCAGGAGCTGAAGCTGTGTTAGGTCTAGAGCGACTTTTGATTTTTGTTATTGCTGTAACTCATCGAAAACTGAACTTTTTGCTTAAAAAATCTAATCCTTTTTTCTGCTCCTAGACTAAAGCAATATTCCAGATATTTAACTAAAATCTTGCTCCATTTTAGCGAAAATTTAGTTTTAGTTGCCCAATGTACACTGACATTTGAGAAGTATTATGCAATAAGATTTATTGGTATATGAGAGTAGCATAAATATATTGGCTTTGATATAGGGAAAGCTTTGAAAAATATAATTCTGATGTAAAATCGATATCACTCTATCAATTACAATACTTAGTTTTGTCTTATTATAAAATTTATTTTCGTTAATGTTTTTTCTCAAATGATACAATCGCTGTACTCTCTATTTATATCAATTTATAGGTGTGTTATCAGTTGCAGAAACAAAAACGAGAAGAAGAACGAAGGGATGATCGAGAGAAGGATACACAATGAAGATAGTAAGATCTAGTGTTATCGTTACAGAATATAACATCGAACTTTCATCGAAATTTATTGTGATAATATTGACTAAAGAATTAAATATTAGTGCAGAAAATTAGAGTGTTACTTTAACTTTCACTTTATACATTGAAATGCTTTTGTTATGATATTATGGAATGTAAATAAATTTAGCTCAATCTCACTTCTTTTCTATTCCATGAGAAACAGTTACAATCATAGATTTCTAGCATTTTACAAGCTATCTTTTGGTTTGTGTGGAAAAACAGACATATTGCAATGAATATTCTTTTTTTTTAAACTAGTAACCGACGTGATGAAATGAAGGAATGAATTCGAACTTAGAAGTAGACTTATACTGTTCCAAAATAAAATACTAATTGACTTCAACTTTCAAAAAGTACATGTCAAAATTCTATTCTGTAGAACTGTTGAATTCATCAAAGAGATTGTTTCACATTTTTTTTAGTTCGATGCTGCAAACACATAATTTGATTACTGTGCCCAAGCTTAACATTCTTAACAAAAAGCTGTGGGATCCTTAACCTAATGTGTTATCCAAATTTTACGATTAAAATATGTTAGGCTTCAGCTAAGAACCCAGTATTTTTTAGTTCTTTAAGAGAAAACTTATGACCCTTGAATACGCTTTCTGTTCTTAAAAACGTAGCCTTGATGCATTCTGGAAAGTGTTAGAAAAACGCTTTTTCTTGATAGGAAGTTGTAGGTATGCATATGACGACTACTCGTTGGACCTTTTCTCAGATGTGCAACTTGATCATCTGAACCAGAATCTATATGTTCTTCAAATGCAAAGGAGAATTTGCAATCGATTGCATGTAGACTAGTATCAGTCATCCAATAAAGCTACGTTCCCAGATTCTCTTATAGAAGAACATGAAATAGAGAACTACATCATGGGTGCATATATCATGGAGCAGAATATGAAACTGATACTCTTAAACTTGAGTTTTTTAACTTGATAGTGTGGATAAGATTACTTGAAGCGAACGGCAGATCTGATCTAAGTAAAGAAGCAACTCGTTAAAGCTTTTCTTGAAATTATAGGTTACAATGACGTGGCTACTATAGCTTGGCGTGTCAATTTTCAAGAGTTCGGCTTATTAGACTTATTATTAAAATTTTTCTAATGCTTGAAATTTCTGCTATTTGTACACTTCTGTCTCTTAAGAAATTTTCCAGAATGAACTCATTGATCGTGCAACTATGGATGATAATTCATTTATAGAGAATGCACATGCTTGCACTTTAAGATCTCTGAACTCTCTTCTATGTCTACTGATGTAATAAAATAATAAACATTAGTGCTTACTCACATATTAGAAAGCACACGTAAATAGATTGGTGGAAATTACTTAACACGAATAATATATATTTACCAATGATGCTCTCAAAAAATCGTCTTCCCTAGCACGTGTACAAATACATACTTGAAAATTTGTTTTAGTTATAGATGAACTTAAATAATGATAACTCATGCAATCATCGGTCGTCACTCAGGACCGAGATTGGCTTGGAAAATGAAAGTTCCAGCGATGTGAACAGCAACGAAAATGACATAGTATGCCCAATTACAGTTTCTTTCTCGCCCACCTCACTCGACAGTATTGCTAAGCCTGCATCAACAGATTTGGAAACACCGTCGCCTACATCAACACATCTGGAAGTACCATTGCCTACTGCAGTCGAAGAAATCTCTATCTATGATGTAAGAAGTCATCTGAAACGTAACATTGTACTTGCAGCTCTGGCGATGATCGCTTTTCTACTTCCATTTTGTGATACTATATACTTACCTGCAATCAACGACATCGCTAATGATTTGAAAACGTCTAACACGCTAGTAGCAATAAGTATATCAATCTACTTGTTCATGAGTGGCATTTTAAGTCTTCTTTGGGGATGCATATCAGATCGATTCGGTCGAAAGATTACAACGATGGTATCGATTATTATCTTTTTGATAGCATCAATAGTATGCATATTTGCTCCTACTATAACTGTTCTTATTATATTTCGTGCCATAGAAGGTGGAACAATATCAGCAACGTTAGTAGTTGGTCAGGCCTTAGTAGCTGATATCTATCCCAAGGAAAAGCGAGGACTTGCAGAAGCATTTTTTTTCGTGCCCTTTAACATTGGTCCTGTAATTGGTCCTTTGATCGGAGGTCCATTATCCCAAGTGTTTGGTTGGCGTAGTATTTTCATGTTTTTGTCAATCCTTTCATTTTGTGTTTTGGTCATAATGTTGGTCATAGTGCCTGAAACGCATCAGTACTTAGTGAAAGAGCGCTTCCATAAAGCGAATCCTACAAAACGCATTACCGATGCTGAGCCAAACGAGATGATACCATTTCAAAAACCTTGGAAACCACTCATTTATTTGACTGATTTGACAATACTACCTTACATTGGTGTGATGACGACGAGTTTTGCTACCCTATTTACCAGTATTGCCCTCTTTTCTACTTATGCTAGTGAAAATCCATATAGCTACTCAGAAACCATTATTGGTCTACTTTTCGTACCAAGTGGGGTAGCCGAGTTCACAACTAGTCTCCTTAGTGGATGGCTGTCGGACAAAGCTAGCAAACATTTTGGACATGACAGATGCCCTGAAGGACGTCTTGTACCAGCTATTGCTTTGTCTATTCTTCATCCGATTGGATTAATTATTTATGGCTGGACATTCCACTATAAATTTCATATGGCTGTACCAATTAGTGGCTTGGTTTTGCTTAGCATTGGTCAAGCGGTTCTCGAACCAAGTGTTTCGGCGTACTTGACAGCCAAAAAACAGAGTGAATCAGGAGCAGTGCTAGCTGCCAATACTTTTCTCAATTTCTGTGCAGCAGGCATTATTGTAACTATTGCCGTTCCTCTCGAGAATGCAATGCATACGGGACCCTACTTTTCTCTCATGTGTGGAATAAATGTCGTGTCTATAACATTGGCCAGTATACAAGTGTACAAAAGTATAAGACGAGCAAAGCGTGCCACTGAACAATCAAATGATCCGATACATCAGCTGGAAAACTCCACACAATAGTAAAACAGCACCAATTACTAGACTTGTCGCTCAAAATCGAATATACCATGATGATTGATTATCTTCCTAAAATAGTGTTTCATCAATGATATTAAGAAAGATATTTCATAGTTAGTGATGATATACTGTTATTGATATTTGTTATAATTTTTCTTGTCATAGAATATCGAAATTTTTATTACATGTGTAATTATCTAACGAAGATGTTTAATTTTTCAAGGTTTACCTCTTCAACTCAATCTAATGCTGAAATAAATCAATAATCGAGCTTGATTTTTGTGACAGTGTTATTTCTTGACTAATAGTAATATTAAAAATACCTGAGGAAAAGAAATTCTATAAGACAATATTTATTCAAGAACGTAATTATATTATGATAAACACCAATTTGTATTCCAGGTTGATTAACCTCGACCGTATACGGTCGTATACCGATCCGTTTTGGTAAAAAAGAGAGTGGATGTGACTGTGGGTATTAATTTCTGTGAATTGACTAACCATCCACAATCACATGTATTCGGCTTACATCGATGGATGTATTTTTAATCAGGCTTCATTCGTTTTTAGCACTTGGACAGAACAATATTTAAAAAACAGAGTTTGGTGCTTTCTTACGTCGAAAAAAAGCTCATTCAGTGATCTTTCGTATTCTATATTTCATGCCTTGGAACAAGTGACAAAGTACTGAACCAGATGCTAGCGTCTTTTTGATACCATTTGCCTCACAAAACAACGTGTATCTAATAGAAAATCATAATGCTTCGCTCTATTCATATATTCATTCATCACTATCAATTAATTTCAAAATAAAAAAATGTGTTTCAAGGCCTCATTAGACCATGTCAATCAACACAGTTTTCATGCTTCATCTATTTTTTTCCGACATAAAAACAAATCATTTGTCAATTAGTGTGTGAATAATTGACATACGAAAATGTATGAATCAAAACATATTTTTCAGTTGAGAGACATTACTTTTTTTTTGTGCGAAGACACTAAACGTATAAAAAGCTGTTTCCTGAAATAGGTATTTTGTACTTTTCCATTTTGTTCTACACTTCAGTTTTAGATAGTTATAACCTACAATACTCCACAAGATTAAAGTCATGTCATGGATAATCGAAAAAAGTGATAATGCATCATCAGCCATTAACATACAAGGTAACAGCGTTACTTGTCACAAAGAAGGTGATTATGGCAGTCCAATTCATGTTCTTTGGAAAGATCCAGCTGAAAAATCAGGATTATATTACTGGCAAATTGAATTTTCACAATTAGATGAACATGGGGTTGCAAGTGTTGGTCTAACCACACAGGACCACTTCAAAGGTGGCTATAGGTTGAAGGCGATGGAATACAATGGTAAGTTAGGGAATCTTTGTGTAGATCCAAAAGTCTCAAGCTCACAGCGGTTTCATGTCTCCCTCTATTCATAGAAGCGTCTACTTACATTACAGATTAAGTTTTCGCTACTTTTAGGTAACTTAACTAACGGTATTTATGCGTTAGTTGGCGCATTCGGTAGCGTTATTAAACAAGGTGACACTATTGATATTTTACTTAATCTGACTGACAGTGAAATGAAAGTGCATTTGTTTCATAACGGCCAACCATTAGGCCTGGCATTCCACGTACAAGCTCCATTTCCAAAACCCTTGTTTCCAGGTAATTATTCGTACTCTTCTCATCAAATGTTTAGTTTAGTTTTCCAATCTCTGTTCATAAGCTAGTCATAAGCTTCTATGGAGATGGTAAAGCTGCAATCAATCGATCCGAAAAAATTCCAAAAATGCTCGATCGACGACAAGAACAGTTCAAAGGCATGGATGGTCACTGGAAACTGGTTGATCACCCACAATACAGTGAATGTATTGGTTATCACTTTCGTCTGTTTAAACCAGTTCGAGCCGATAGTAATACTTACTGTCTTTGGACTAGTATTGTAAATGATATAAGTTGCGATCTTGTCCATGATCCGTTCACAAATAAATGGACAAATAAAGGCATTCAGACAACATTGATGGATGGAGATGACGAATTGCTACGAAAGGAAGAAGTAATGCTGAACCTTCTCGATGAAATAACCAATGTTGGGTTACAAGGACAACATTTGGTTATGATGTTGAATGGAAACCAAGTGAAATTTGAACGCTATACACAGGATCCTTCAATAGCATACACGAAAAATGTTTTCACAGAAGAATATTAGCTACTGGATTTATAATTACAAAGAGAATACTTAGAAATAGATATAATTTCCCTTGTAACGCTTTTATAAACATTCACATGCATTTATTCGATTTGAATAAAATAATGTTTTGATCTAGTTCCTTTGTGCTTAGTGGTGTAACCAACTGCAGTGTTATGGACCAAAGATTCAAACGAATCAGAAAATCTCAATAATTGAGTAGAAGCCTTATTCGAGTTCGATTATACATCGGAAATTAAAAGAAAAATCTCACTCATGTTAAACTAGCAAAAAACAGCAAAAGACAAAATTTTATATCAAGTATAATTGATAAATTCGAATGTGCTCATGTAAAAATAACCAAAAAGCAAAACATGCAATTTTACATTAATTACAATTTATAAACTTGAATGCATCTATTTTAAAATAGTAAAAAAGCATAATATAACCGTTTGCTGCGACGGACAAATAAAAGTTCAGTTTCACAGGAAAAAATCGTTTTGTTGTGTCGGGTACTAGGTTTGTGACACTACAGAAAGCTTAGCAATGTGAAACCTGATAGTTCAATGAAATTAATTGTAAACACTTTGAGGTAATTAAGTATTGCATTATTCTCAGATGCTACAAGTATCCCAAAAGAGATCGCAGATGTTATCTGAGACACTGCGTGTAGCACATGGGATGTTGCAGGTGTCAGCCAGAAAACTGTAGGTATAAGCTTGGATACTTGATGCATAACTTAAGATGCTAGAGGTGTGACTTAGGATGCTGGAGATACTGTCTCGAATGCTACAAGTAAATACAGGGATGGTACGGATATAAACTGAGGTGGTAGAGGTATCTTTCAGAGCAGTACAGGTGCTGTCTGGAATACTATCAGAATCAGCTAGAGGGTTACTGGTGGTTTTTTCCTGTACAAGTATTACGGTAACTGCAGCAGGTACTACTTGGAATGTTACTAGAATTCCTTGTGAGTTAACACATATTACTCAGAATACGACAGATATCAGCTGTTATGTGATGAAGAATATTTTGAAGCCCGTGGGTATTACCTGGAATGCTACAAATATTTCCTAGGATGCCATAGATGTTATGTGAAATGTTATGCGAACCACTTGAGACGCTTCAGCGATCACAGTAACGTAGCATCTGCAAGCGAACAGGTTGCATGGTCACGTAGAGTGTGCGTGTGAGTTTGTATAAATCGCAGAGTAACACCCATACTCCATCCACACCCAAAGATTAATTATTGTGTGATTCATGTTATTAAACATGCGTTCCAAACTCAGCTAAATTCCCGCGTGAACTATGACAGATATTCGTCATTTATTTGATGAACATATTTGGCATTAAAGGTGTGCTCGAATAGGTAAGTGAATAATCGTTTTATCATTATTTGAGATTATTGGAAATAATTCATTTATTGTTTGTAATTAGTTATTTCCAAGTTCATATGTAAATGATGCTAATAAGATATGTTCGGAACTTGATGATTTCCATTCTAATCGTAGCACGGTTCCATTTTAATGAATATTTTCTCATAATAGTCCGTTCATTTCAATAGTAAACATATACATTCAGTTTGATATTGATAATAAATTCAACAAAAATGAAGAACGTCGTTAAATTATTGTATGCAAAAATGATAGAAATATTCCAATGATGCAATGAATGCTGTTGAAATGTATTTGAATGTTGTACTAAAACTGTTCGTGAACAAATTGTAATAAAAATGATTCGTAGAATATTTTGTGTTGTTTCAATAGCCTAATATAATCATTAAGAGCTTGATGATAACGATAGTGTTAGTTTGTACGAACAAATGTTTGAATATTTGATAGTGGAGAATTGTAATATATCAAAAAATTGGCTTTTGATGTTGTTGCTGTGTCAGTTAATGATGAATATGTTATAATAATCTAAATGAGTCAGAAAATGGTTGTATTTCTAACAAAGATTCTTATCGTTCTTTTTCTTTTGTTTTTTCCTATTGTGTTCGTTGTCGTTGTCGCTGGAGTTGATGTGTACTGTTGTTTATTGTTCTTGTTTATCGCTGTTGTTAGTTTTTTATAAGTTATTTTTTTCTCTTTTTTTGTTTAATTAATTAATCTCACTGGCGGATAAATTGTTCTTTTGTAAAGTAATTTATTTTCATTTTTGTTCTTGCTTTTTCTTGTTCATGTGGAAATTTAAACTCAATTAAAACTTCGCCTTTATTTCTGTTAATATTAATTTGATGACTCGTAAGTATGTCATCTTGTAGGAGTTGGACCCGAATTTTTCTATAATCATACTTATGATGTATGGGTCGTTTGACCTTGTGTTAAAAATCCGGACGGTTCTTTTGTTTCCATTTAAGTTTTAAATTTTTTCTTCTTTGCCGTTCGGATTTTGTTAATGTTGTTGTTTGTATTTATGATTGTTCTTCTTCCATGAAATTAAATTCGTTTGTTTCTTCTTGTGTTGTGGTAATTATTAAGGCATGTGGGTCATAGTCTGGTGGTGGTAATGTTCGTTCTTGTTTATTGAATTTTGGCATTGAAATATGAATTGATTCATCCTTACTGATGTTTGATAGATCATCATCTAAATCTATAATAAAATTGATCGATGTTGTCGTTGCTGTCTCAGGTATTTGATGATTGACTGGTTTTCTGAATACATATGAAAGAATAATTCAGTAACTGCAGCACAATCATTTATTGCATATTGTTTCATTTTTCACCGATTTTGTTGCTCAATTTTTTTATTATATTCGTGTCGACTAAATAATTTGTTTTTCTATATGTTTAATTCTAAGTCCAAACACACTGCCAACAATGAAATGTTTCTAATTTATCGAGGAATTTTTCTAATGCTGTTATAATTGCATTTCGAAGTGACCATGTGGCATTTAAATCATAATGAGTTCGATGGTCACAATTAAATTGCATGTTAGAATTTGTTGTTTCATTGTTTCCATCATAATAATCATCAGGCGTATGGAATATATCTTTAATGATACAAGCCCGGTTTCATCATCACGCCGTTTCATTTTCGGTTGCGTTTTACATGTATCGTTGTGCCAATTCCTAAGTTTAAACTGTAAATTAATATCGTCAGTTTCTGTAGCTGTATGAATAAGGTCGACATGATGGAAATTTCCGAATTCACTGTCGATCGGTCTCCATGATATGATTTTATTATTGTTATCGGATATAATTGAACTTAATTGCTTTATTTTTGAAAACAATAATGATTGTGGATCCGGTAGATGTTCTGTTTCAATTAATATAATGATCGTCTGTTTAATCGAATGTATAAATTGTATTTGTATTAATAAACCTTTTTTTTTCTTTTTCACTTTTTGCGATTCTGTATCGACGACGTATCTGCTTGTTTCTTTTGCTTCGGTAATTAAGTCATCTATGAAGTTAATTGTTGTTTTATAATGAAGATGGATAATGTTGATGTTTTGATGATAATTCAAATGATGGATAATGAGCTTTTCATTTTTCATTTTTTTCTTATTCTTCTTGTTGTTTTTTGCCAGTTTCGCTGTTCTTCAACAGATAATTTGTAATTATAATCCGGTGGATTATTTAAATCACGTTGTGAATACGACATTGATGTAAATACAGCCAACGCAAAATATTCTGGGACACCCAAAAATGGCTCCTAAAATTTTAATATCTCATTTGAATTAAATTTCACACATATAGTGAATATGGTTATTGGTTAGGCTTTGATATCATGACGTACAAACGCAAAACTTTTAATTTTAGTTTAAAGAAACAAAGAGAACAAAAATTATCCAACGGCAAAAAGTCCTGGGACACTGGAGCTGGCCAAAGTATCCGCCTCACGTTTTAGCCACTATAAGAGATATAAGGCTGAAGATTTGTATATATATACTACATGACATGTTTAGATCAGCGACACCAACCTGATCTTTATCGATTCAGTTGGAGAGGATTTATAATGCGCAGCAGCTCATACTATTGAGAGCCTGATAAATCAACATAGAAATTTATTATGGATCGGGAAACTAACCATTATGTAGCGCTTATATGTACCTATCGGGACTAAAAATTTGATGAACATTCATTGAGCTTTACACTATCTAAAAATTTCAAGAAATATCGCGCAGAATTCGTGTATTGTTCTCCACAATTTCCGAGTGAATATACTCTAAAAGCGAAAAGAAATCACAATATGGAACGTTACATTTTCATCAAACGTCCTGTGGTGTCAAAGTGTGATGCATTTCGCTCATATTATAAGTCACTGTTAGACTGCTTTTGTTCTTTGTTTGTTTACATTAAAACTAAAAGGTTTGCGTTTGTACGTCATAATATCAAAGCTTAACCAATAACCATATTCATCATATGTGTGAAGTTTAATTCGAATGAGATATTGTTAATTTTATGGAGCCATTTTTGAATGTCCCAGAACTTTTCGCTAGGGCTGTATTTTATGCTCTGACACTGAAATGCTCATGTGCTAGTTAATACAGACTCCATAAAAAAATGCAATGGATGCTTATTTTATCTGCTCAGATGCGTATATTGGTAAGCTATGTGGAAAACTGTGCGAATCCTGGACAACATATGTGAAAAGTACAGCAGAGTGTCAACTCAAACGCGTATTTTCCTCCTTTTCAGCAAAGAGAATCTTATGAAATTTGAAATAAACTTAAACGAATTTTCAGAATTCGTTGTTGATTTTCATCAGCTGACACAATATCAGCGAATCTCTATTTCGATATCATATCATGTTCGTGCATGTTTAGCTATAAGTGTACGTGATTGATGAACAACAGGATCAAGACCTTCCACTTTCACCAGGGTTCAGATAAAAAATACCATGGCTACAACGGGTACGACCTGAGATTTAACAGTGAGTTAAATCCGTACTTTCTGTACGAGAAATCAGATCGTGATCAATGAAGGAGTCCAAAAAATAATAAAACTAAAGAAGTCCCGCGTGTTCGTACCAGATGACGCTGGCAGAGTGTTCGGTAATGTTTCGTACGAAAGAAA